ATAAATAAATAAATAAATAACAGTGGTGAGAGTGGACATCCTTGTCTTGTTCCTGATCATAGAGGAAAAGCTCTGAGTGTTTCCCCATTGAGAATGATATTAGCTGTGGGTTTTTTGTATAGGGTCCTTATTATGTTGAGGGATGTTCCCTCTAACCCTACTTTGTTGAAGGTTTTTATCATGAATGGTTGTTGTACTTTGTCAAATGTGTTTTCTGCATCTATTGAAAGGATCATTGTTCTTATCCTTTCTTTTATTAATGTAGTCATCACTTAAGTTTTAACTTAAGCTTAACACTTGTCTCAATACCAATTTTTCCATTTGTGGTCTTAAAAAAACGTGCTGAGGGGTGAGGGAAGGGGTGAACAGGACGACAAAAACAAACCGCTTTGTTTTCCTTATTCCTTTTGAATGAAACTAAGGAAACTAGCAATTTTCCAGGGACCTAATGACTTTAAGTTTTTGGGTTTTTTTATCACTATAACATGGGTGCCAGATAATATCTTCCATGTGACAGTCTCAGAGAAGTCATCAATCCTGGTTGTAAAGGACTGTTTTTTCTCTAGGAAATACAAGAGGCCTGTCCCAGGAGATGTTTCAGAGGAGAAATTATGCATGGCTTTCATTTCTCTCCTACAATGCTCTGCAGCATGGTACATAATCCCTGGGTCCAGCCTCAGACCACCTCTGTTAAAACCCCTACTCCAAAATTTATCATTTGTGTGAATTGCTTCACAGGGATTGTTTTGAGGGTTAAATGAGATAATACATGTTTTTTTCTTTTTTCTTTTTTTCTAAAGATTTATTTTTATTTATTTGAGAGAGAGAGAAAGAGTGGGGAAGGGGCTGAGAGAGAGGGAGAAAGAGTTCTAAGCAGACTCCACACTGAGCACAGAGCCCAATGCAGGGCTCGATCTCACGACCCTGAGATCATGGCCTGAGCCAAAACCAAGAGTTGGACACTCAACTGACTGCATGTCACCCAGATGCCCTGAGATAATACATGTTTTATATGTCAGTTTGGCTAGGTTCTCGTTCCTGGCTATTTAAGCAAATATTAATCTAAGCGCTGCTTTGGAAGCATTTTATATATATAATTAAAGTCCATAATCAACTGATTTTCAGAGAAATTATTCTCAATAACCTGGTTGGGCCTGATTCAGTCAGTTGAAAGGCCTTAAGAGTAGAGCTTCAGTTCATGGCCAAGAGCTCCAGCTTGTCCTTCTTAACCACCTAGCCTATGGAGCCCCACAACCACATATGCCAATTCCTTGCAATCAACCTCTTGATATATATCTCCTACTGGTTCTGCGTCTCTGATTGAACACTAACTGATATGATATATAAAGCTGTGGATTAGAGATTGACACAGAGTAAGGGCTCAGAAAGTCTTTGTTACTATATTTTCCATCAGTGGTAGTGGTGTTGGTATTGTTACATAACATAAACTTCTGGAATTTTCCAATACTCTTCCAATATTCTGTCTTATTGATCACAACAAACACATTCTTTCTTGTCAGATCATGTCATTCAATGCTTGATTCAAAAAATGCAACCACTAAAATACTCCACTTCAGACAAAGCAACATCACATTCCAAATCATGGCATGCAATTTCCACAGCCCAATAACGAATACACTTTCCAATAGAGATACATTTTTAGTCAACTATTAGCCTAGATAAATTCTTTACCCTTTGAGTAGTTAGGACAAATTCTGTTTGCATTTTTTAAAACCTAGAAATTATATTATTTCTTTCAGTTTGCTTTCCTTATCTAATATTCATTCAGATACATTCATTTTCACATCTTCCTTTCTTCCTCTGCTATTTTCCATTCAAGATGGCAGGATTTCTTTTTTTTTTTTTAAGATTTTATTTATTTATTTGACAGAGAGAGACACAGTGAGAGAAGGAACACAAGGGAGAGGAAGAAGCAGGCTTCCCACTCAGCAGGGAGCCCGATGTGGGACTCAATCCCAGGACCCTGGGATCATGACGTAAGCTGAAGGTAGACACTTAACGACTGAGCCACCCAGGTGCCCCATGATAGCAGGATTTCTTAAACTCCATAAAGTTATTTCCTTGGAGCAATCAAGCCTCTACTAATACCTTTATTATATCTGTAACTGCTTCAAGTTTGTACCAAGAGCCATACAAACAATGCTTAGGCCTGATAAAATCACATTTTCCACTTACCTAAATGTCCCATGCAAATTTAAAATATAATACAAGGTATTTTTCACCTTTTCTTTCTAATAGTATCTATTCTTTCATTACTACTCTGTCTTCCAGAAGTATGATTTACTGGTTCATTCAAAAGTCACTTACTGAGCATCTACTTGAGCAAAAAGATGTATCACATTTCCTGTTCTCATGGATTTTTTAAGAAGGATGAGAGATAAACACAAATAACTGTATCACTTGGAAGACTGATAATGGCCGCCAGGGTGATTCAGTGCTACAGTGATTCTGAGAACAGAAAGGTCACCCTTGCCTGGGTTGGGTGATGAAATAAGAAAAGCCTAAGAGATGGCTTCTGAGAAGATTCTTAAAGAATGGCTAGGATTTCAACAGGTCGGCAAGGGATTTCAGAGAACCAAAACAGCACATGAGCACTGGGAGTGAATTACTTTATACATGAGGAAAGAGAGAGTCAGACAAGAATTTGCCCAAGGACATGCAGCTAGTCAGTGACAAGAAGAACCTGAAGAGAGTCCAGAAACCTCAAGGAAGCCCATCTAGCACCTTCTGTCTGCAGTTCCCCATTCCTTCTAGTTGTTTTATAAGATGGAGATCTGAACTGCTGGACCTTTCACGTACAGGCCATCGAGGCTATCATTACTTATATCCCCTTCTACTCCACCGCTCTCATTCATCCATCCATTAACCCCCTATCATTTGTCCATCTGTCTCTCTCCAGTCTGAATCCCATAATCCTACATCCATCCTTTTCATCCTTCTCCACCCTCCTCCTCACTGAGCCATACAGAACTTCCAGTCTGACCCTTCTCTGAATGATTCCTTAACCCCCTTTCTCTAACTGAAACCTTGTTCTTCCTAAGGACACAAGAAAAGTTTGCTTTTTTCTTTATAGTTCATGAACTTGAGGGCCTGATTATTGTCCCCCTATCTTCCAGTGTGACTTTCAAGGCTTTTATTTGCCTTCCTTTCTTTAAAATACGCAGCTCATTTGAAGCCCATATCATCAAACTTCTCACTTCACTCACTTCCACCTGCTTATAGATCACATAAGTCAACCTCCTGATGACTTTTTTCTCAGCCTATCACCCTTCATGTCCTCACTACCTTCTATGCCCAGAAAATCACTCATGTGCAAACTCCTTTAATTACTTTCCTTCTCTCTCCCTCCTTCCTACTTACCTGAAAAATCTCCAAACCAGATTAAACTCAATTCTAGCCATATTCCAGTAACTAAAGTTTGATAAAACCATTTAATACTCCTAACTAGATCCACAATAAATTTATAACTCAGAGTCACAAATGGGTATCTGACATTTCCTGACAACTACTTACATGTCCCCAGAACATTTGCTGTCTCACTCTCTTAGATGACCATCCCACCCTTTCTGCTCTCCCCTCAAACATCCCTGTCTCACCTTAGCCCTTGACCTCACCTTATATTTTCCTGAGAAATTAGAAGCAGCTTAAAAGGAGTGCCCTTATCTTTCTATAAATTTACTTTCTTCTGTACCTATTCATTCTATCTTCTTTCCTACAGATACTAAGGAGTTGTGTCCCTTCTTCTAAAAAGGCCCACCTGCTCCACTGGGATGTCCTGATCCATGTCCTCTTATTACCTTGCAGTTGTGCTCCCTCTCTCCTACATCATCTATTTCTCCCACTCTTCTGAATTGGTCTCATCTGATCTAGTTTATTTGACCGTAAAAATCACCTCCCCCTCTTTACCCACGGTAGCCTGTGGTTTTCAACCCATTTCTTTCCTCTTTGTATAGCAAAAACCTCAAAAGAGTAACTATATCCCAACTTTCTTACCTCCTAAGAGGCCATCAAGACTAACCTCTCATACATGTTTCCCTTTCTAGTCAACCACTCTCTGAACTCTCAGACTATCACTCATCCATCTGTCTCCCTCCAGTCTGGATCCCACAGTTCCTTGTCCATCCTTTCAACCTCATCTGTGACCTCATCTCAACCACTCCAATCAAGCTTCTGATTCTTCCATTTTCTTGTCATGATCCCCAGTAATCTAATATTGTCTATCCAATGGAAACATATGTGCCCTCATCCTACTGAACCAGTTAGCAACATCCTACTTTCTGAAACACTTTCCTCTCGTGACCTTAGTGTCATCCACTCTCCTAGTTTTCTTCTTACCTTTTATCTTTTTTTTTCCCCCTCACTTTTAAGCTCCTCTTTTTCTACCCAGTCTGAACTTTGAAGTGGTCTAGAATTCTCTCTTTTTCTTACCTACATTTATTTCCCAGGTGATCTCACCTGAGGCTTGGGTTCCAGTTGCTACCAGCAGCAGAGTATAGGCCCCTGACTAGGCTTCACAGGCTTTAAAGAGAAAAGCAAGGATGATTCCAGACAGAAATTAGGTTGCACTTAACCAAGTGTACTCCCCACCAAAATCAGACAGGGTTCCAAGGTCACAGCCTGAGGTTCAGTCATATACTCACTTCTCTCCAGGTGGTAGTCTTTCCCCAGGAGAGAGCATCACACAGGCTTATCTAGAACAATCCTTTCTGTTTTACCTCCACTGTCTTGCTTTGAAGCTCCTGAAGTTCCTCTTGTTCCTCTCCTGAGTCCACTTCCTGTCACAGAATATTCCAGAATGAATCCAACACAACCATCTCTCATTTACCCTGATCCTCTGACTTTGCGTCCAGGATTTTTTCCACCATGTCAGGCTGCCCCTCAGTTCCTTACTTATAGACAAGTAAAATGAAGTTTCATTTTATGCTACCCTGTATACGTGTTTTGCATGAGATTGTTATCCTTCATCCATGCCACCACCTCCCCAAAATAATTGAGCATCCATATATATGGCTCCATAAAATACTAGCAGGCAATTCACTGTGGCACAGAGTTTATTTTTCCAAACAAGTAAGACAAAAAGCTTAGCTTAAAAATGAAAAAACACTTTATACTCATGCATATAAAAAACATCAAAAATAACATATGTATTTTCTATTGTTTTCCTTTGCAACAATTTACTATGTCATATTTCAAAACAAAAGCTAGTTTCCATAGGAAAGAAAAACAGATTAAGTCAAACAATGAAGAAAGGAGTAATGTTCACAAGGTTTAGATTTGAAATCTTACATAGTTTTTCCAAAGACACTGATGTTTGCTGGCACTTTACTACTTTTAATCTTGAGCATGAAATTCAAACTTCTATGGAGATAAAACCATATATCTACTTAAAAAAACAATACCTTGGTCCCTTCCTGGTGTGATCCTTGGATAAATTTCTTCTGCAACTCTTTACAGTGTGAGTAATGTATCTCCTTCTCTAGATTTTTAAAATTGGTTGGATTGCAAACTGTCAGGAAAGAGTCAAGTGACAACTAAAGCAAAGTAAGATATGAAGGAAGATATGTTTCTCAAAGCATATTCCACTGACAATGCATTGGTTAATAATGATGTTTATGACAAAGTCTATACTGTTGCTTGGGTTATAAATCACTTATCTATGACCTTTGATAAGAACCAGACATTGCCTCATTACTGTCTCATCTAAGAACTATGTCTTGCAATGAATTCTGGTAAGGTCTATTTTTCCCCATTAGTGTGGCATGTGTGTTAAAAATTAACAGTAGAATTATTAGGTGACCTGCTCAGACCAGTGTTTCTAGAACTATAAATCTATGGCTAGCAAGTATTAATTTATTTTTATCAGAAATTTTGACACTCCATAAGAAGAATTACTGAAGCAGTCAGATTCCTGAGCCTTACTGACCATCATTAATCCTGGTACATAGGAAGGAAACACAAAGCAACTGTATTCCAACATTGGTTACCTTAATGCTCAGAGATTATCTAATAGCTCAGAGATTATCTAATAGCACATTCATTTGTTACTTGATCTTGGCATTTAAGGTATATTCTTGAACCAAGAGTTCAATTGATTAGTGAACTATTAATAGGGAAGGAATGATTCTGAGTGGCCTAAATATTTTGAGGCCAGGCAGACCTGTATTTCAATCTCAGTTCTACCTTGTATTAGCTATGTAACTTTAGGCAAATTGATTTATCCCTTAGCTTCAATATCTTGTAAATATCAGAGTGCTAAGATGTAACCTTAACAAAACTGGAGTTTGGATTTAATGATATAAATGTAGGTACAGTATCTGGTTCTCAATAAATGTTAGTTTCTTTCCCTTGAACAATTTTACATTGAAAATCAATGGCCGACTCCATCATATCAGAATTGCTAACTGAATTGCTTAGGTATTCCTAGAGTATTTGCCTATATGCTGCCTCTAGAGACAAAAAGATTTTTAGGGCTTTGGAGTTCAATATAAAACCATCTGATGACTTCCATCCAATGACCCATTTCATGAATAGAATTCGTCACTTACAAATGCTATTGAGTTAAAATAATAAAGATATGAAGGCCTTTATGAAAGAAAATAATACCTGTGGGCCCAGCTAGATTTTTTTAAAACTAAATTTAGTCAGTTTGTAATAACCACTGAGTTCACTAAAGTATATGGTTCAGAGCAAAGAGAAGGAAGTGGTTATCTCAACTGAAAAACAAAACAAAACAATGATGTTGAAAATGCAGAAGAAAATAAGATGAGATCAGAGCAAACACAAATTCTATCAAAATATTCCTCTGGCTTCACTGATGAGTACATGGTAAACACCACACTAGTCAAAACAATGGTATTTCTGACTCGGGCCCCAAAATAGAGAATTGCAAATTAAATTAGGTTACATTCATACAACAAAGTTGTATGCAACCATCAAAAATGATGTTGAAGAATAATATTCAATTTATTTTTTAGAAGGTTATTTAATAACATGGAAACATCTTAAGAATTGATGATGTAAAAAAGAAAGCTATGAAACAGTATGGGTAGCATTCTATTAAGGAAGGAAAGCATGGAGGGATGGAAGGAAGGAAGGAGGGAAGGAAAGAAGGAAGGAAAGGAGGGAGGGAGGGAGGAAAAAAGGAAGGAAGAAAAGAAAGAAGGGAAGACAGGAGGAAGGAAGGAAGAAAGGAAGAAAGGAGAAAACACCAGTATATTAATAGTAGTTTACTCTAGGTAATGGAAATTTGAGCAACTTTTTATTTTTTTCTAGCTTTATTGAAATATATTTGACATATAATAGTGTGTAAGTTTAAGGTATATAACATGATTTTATATACATACACATTATGAAATGATTAGCCCAAAAAGGTTAGTTAACATATCCATCACTTCACATATTTGTGTGTGTGTGTGTGTGTGTGTGTGTCGGTGAGAACATTTAAGATCTACTCTCTTACCAATTCTCAAATATACAATACAGTATTACCTATAGTCACCATACTGTACATTAGATCCTCAGAATTTATTCATCTTATAACTGAAAGTTTGTACCCCAAATCAAACTGGGAAATCAAACTCAATATATTTTGTAGATTTCTAAGTCAAACTAGGAAATCAAACTCAATCTATTTTATTTCAAAGCCCAACCTCCTAACACTCTATGTATAACCTTCAGATATTAGAATAATCACCTCACCAAGCTCTGCAATAAACTGGCCATATATGAAGCACTGTATTTAATTCTACACAATTTAAAATGAATCCAGAGGAAAGTGAAAAGAATTCTATAAAGTCTACGAACTAAGAAAAACAAGAAAAAGAAAGGTTGGTTTAGGTTGGAGAAGATAAAATTCATGAAGGACACAAAGAGAGGGGTAAATTATTTTCTCATTCCTGTCTCATCTACTCTGGTTCCTCTAGGGAACAAGCTTCCCACCACCACTCATGGAAAGATACATCTAGCCTCTCATGCCTATTATTGGATTTATGTTGAACTCTTAGTCCTCATGGTCTTTATCACACAAGAGTCTTCTTGGTCTTTGTAGGCTCACCTAGAACTTCTAGATGACCCCTCCCAAGACCATCTCTGCCTCTGACCACACTATCTTCAGCATGATATTTTCTTAAGTTCCTTTCCAGGTAACATGCCAACCAGATTGAGCTGGCCTCAAACACTTCCCTCTTCTCTCTACAATGCCATAATAAGGAAGCCCCTCCATACCACAAACATGCATTTTCTTACCTGGCCTTGCTCCAGAGATCAATGGCTAAAACTGACCGGATTTTTTCATATTTTGCCTTGTTAAAGAGGAGATATTTCTAATAATTAGACATGTGAATAAAAGCACTGGTGCTTCATGGTATAATGAAGATACATCCCAGGAAGCATGGTGTGTATGCTGCATAGTGGAATCCTCATTATGTAATAACTCAGGTAGCACAAGCTGCTGAAATAAATACCAAATTTTTGGTAGCTTTAAACAATATAATAGTATGTCACACTCTTGTATTGATCAATGAGGATATTTCTATTTGACTGGTAGCTTTCCTGCATGTGGTGATTCAAGGATCCAGTTCCCTTCTACCTTGTGCCTCCACCATCCTCAGGAACATGGAGGTTGGTTTGTTTGTTTAATCCAGCCAGAAATGAGATAATAACGAGAAGATGCTTCTTAACCACCTCAGGCAACAAGTTATGTGCGCCAGATTCCAAAGGTGAGAGCTAGTCATATATCCCCACTGAAGGATAAGGGGAATCGGGAAATGCAGTCGTTGGCCACTGCCAAGAAGCCACTGCCCAGTAACTACTCCTCACTATGGAAGAGGAGTGCAAATCTTTGGTGAAGAGCCCATCAGTGCTACTGCCATTGGATAATAAAATGAATGGGATTTAAGTACTGTTTTAACTCCAATTTTCATGGCCCTCAACTTTCATAAAGGTTCAGCACAAGAAATATCCACCTGTATTTAACTGCAAACTCTTCAAATTTCTAGAGTTTGAACATATTGATAATAAGCTCTTGCATTAGGCTCTAAGGACTTGGAAGGCAAGAACTGACTCTTCTGAACTTTGTATGCCCAGAACCTTGCACTCTCTCCTGCACGTAAAAGCTGTCCCAGAAGTGTTTGTTGATTAAATGAATGGGGGATTATGTTATCCAGGGTTCCTTATACAAAATGAACCTGAATTCAATCTCAGGTATGTTTGTTTCTCAAGATAAATTTCTATGTCTGTCTGCCCCCTCCATATTAAGCAAGTCATGGTTCTGTGAGCATATAATATTGTGGTCCTTCACACATTTGCAGATACAGCTTTCTCTGCCTGGATTACCCTATCCCCACATGACTTCCCCTCCCTCAAAAGCTGGCTCAAGAATGACCACCTCTTCTCCACACAATCTTACCCAATTCTCCCCGCAGACTTAAGTACTTATTCCCCTGTGCGTCCATTATACCCATGATAATTCTTATCCTAATTTCTGGTACTTATCTGCTTATTTTCTGTCTCTCCATTAGATTATAAACCATTTAAAGGTAAGAACCATGGCATTTTATCCTTATGTTATCAACATATTGGGCACTATCTGACATATCAGAGAAGCTCAACTAATATTTGTTAATTTGTAAATTGTCATTGCTTTAATATAGTCAATGCTTAAATAAAAACCATACTGGTACTTGAAGAATGATATGCCTTCCTCTCTCACTTCCTTTCCCCCAAACACACAGTGACCTGATTTATTGAAACAAATCAGAGTAGATAATGAAAGCAG